TGCTGCTGCTGCAGTTGCTGCTGCTGCTGCTGCTGCTGCTGCTCAAGCAGCTGCTGCTGCGTCTCGAGGTCCATTGGCTGCTGCCCTCCGTAGAAGAAGCTGCAGAAGCTTTTGAGCCGCTGCTGCGCTGCTTGCAGCAGCAGGGGCCTCTCGTCAGTGCCCACAAGTGTTATGCGGGGTGTGGGCCCCATCCCTGCTGCTGCTGCTGCTGCTGCTGCTGCTGGGGCCTGCTGCTGCAGTTGCTGCTGCTCCTCCGGGTATACGTACACCGCAGGCACGGTGTCTCGGGGAGAAGGAACTGCAGCACAAGAAGGCGAAAGGCCCCCCAGCAGCAGCGCTGCCTCCAGCAGCAAACTGCCGCTGCCGCAGAACGGATCCCATATCTGCAGCAGCAGCAGCAGCGACAGCAGCAGCAGCATAAAACACGCGGGAACACAGACATGCGAGCTACTCGAGATGAACTCCACCCGTTGGCACTGCTGCTGCTGCTGCTGTTGCTGCCGCCGCTGCTGCTGCTGCTTTGAGGCTCACCACAATGCGTTTCTCTCGCTTGAAGATTCTGCGAAGTCCAGCAGCAGCAGCAGCGGCAGCAAGAGACACGTCGCCGATTTCGTGCTCCGTGCCTGCTGCTGTCCAGTCTGCTGCCTCCCAAGGTGGTTCTGCTGCTCCTGCTGCTGCTGCTCCTGGTGTTGCTGCTGCTGCTTCTGCTGCTGTTGCTTCTTTTGCTGCTGCTGCTCTATGGGCCAAAGCCTCTGCTGCCCAGCCACCCCTTAGATACAGCAGTCGCATCATAGACACAGTTGCTGCTGATTGAGGCAGCAGGAAACCCTGGGGGCCGCCCGGACTGGAGTCATTGAGATAACCTTGTTGCTCTAGCTCCTGCTGCTGCTGCTGTTGTTGTTGCTGCTGCTGCTGCTGTTGCTGCTGCTCCGGGTGCTGCTGCTCTTCCTGCTGCTGCTCTTCCTGCTGCTGTTCTTCCTGCTGCTGTTGCTGCTCTTCTTGCTGCTGTTCTTCCTGCTGCTGCTGCTGCTCCTGCTTCTGCTGCTGTTGCTGCTGCTCCGGCTGTTCTTCCTGCTGCTGCTGCTGATGGCGCAGGGCCCCTCCGCAGGGACCGCCTGAAGAGCCCCACAGAGAGGAGGCGACGGC